TACTTTACCAAGACGTTGTACACTGTACTCAAGTACTGAAATACTTTACCAAGACGTTGTACACTGTACTCAAGTACTGAAATACTTTACCAAGACGTTGTACACCATACTCAAGAACTGAAATACTTTACCAAGACGTTGTACACTATACTCAAGAACTAAAATACTTTACCAAGACGTTGTACACTATACTCAAGAACTGAAATATTTACCGAGACATTGTACACCATACTCAAGAACTGAAATACTTTACCAAGACGTTGTATACTGTACTCAAGTACTGAAATACTTTACCAAGACGTTGTACACTATACTCAAGTACTGAAATACTTTACCAAGACGTTGTATACTATACTCAAGAACTGAAATACTTTACCAAGACGTTGTACACTATACTCAAGTACTGAAATACTTTACCAAGATGTTGTATACTATACTCAAGAACTGAAAAACTTTACCAAGACGCTGTATACTATACTCAATAACTGAAATACTTTACCAAGACGTTGTACACTATACTCAATAACTGAAATATTTACCGAGACATTGTACACTATACTCAAGTACTGAAATACTTTACCAAGACGTTGTATACTATACTCAAGTACTGAAATACTTTACCAAGACGTTGTATACTATACTCAAGTACTGAAATATTTACCGAGACATTGTACACTATACTCAAGTACTGAAATACTTTACCAAGACGTTGTATACTATACTCAAGTACTGAAATACTTTACCAAGACGTTGTATACTATACTCAAGAACTGAAATATTTACCGAGACATTGTACACTATACTCAAGTACTGAAATACTTTACCAAGACGTTGTATACTATACTTAAGAACTGAAATATTTTACCAAGACGTTGTACACTATACTCAAGAACTGAAATATTTACCGAGACATTGTACACTATACTCAAGAACTGAAATATTTACCGAGACATTGTACACTATACTCGAGTACTGAAATACTTTACCAAGACGTTGTACATTATACTCAAGAACTGAAATATTTACCGAGACATTGTACACCATACTCAAGTACTGAAATACTTTACCAAGACGTTGTATACTATACTCAAGAACTGAAATATTTACCGACACATTGTACACCATACTCAAGAACTGAAATACTTTACCAAGACGTTGTATACTATACTCAAGTACTGAAATACTTTACCAAGACGTTGTACACTATACTCAAGAACTGAAATATTTACCGAGACATTGTACACCATACTCAAGAACTGAAATACTTTACCAAGACGTTGTATACTATACTCAAGAACTGAAATACTTTACCAAGACGTTGTACAGTTTACTCAAATACTAAAATAATTTAAAAGTGTAAGCGTTATTAAATGTTAACAATTATCAAAATTACGTAGAAAGTAATTCAAGCATTCACGCAGAAGAAAAAATCATTTGCTCCAGAGAGCCCTTTGAATAAGTACTGGAGAATACAATTAGAACAGCTTGGCACTACACGTGTCCGGAAGCACGACTATATTGCCGTTGATGAGTTATTGGATGCGTGATTAATTTCTTTTAAGCAAATGTGCCTGGAAGCAAAACTATTGAAAAATTACACCGGTCATTAGAGTACACACACACCAACAAACATTTTGCCGACCCTGGTTCTGGAGATGAATTACAGCCCTACATTATGCAGAATACTATGGGGCGTGTCGTAACGTCACAGTGAACGTACTAAAACACATAATGGCGTGCCGTGACGTCGCAGTGCATCCACGGAAACTCTACTTGGCGTGCTGTGACGACACAGAGAATTTACGGGCACGTTCATTATTGAGTTTCCTTTCGCAGTGTACTCCAATAGCAGCAATACAATGCACTTCATGAAAATGGACTTCGCAATGGGTTGAATAAAGGACTTAAATAAAAGCCGAACAAAAACCATCACCTATCTCAAATAGTAACACAATCAAAGAAGAACGTACCTGACAAAGGACTTCCAGCTGACTGTCATAATGTAATATATTTCTATCAATTCCAAGTAGCGACACCATGACATAGATGAGGACACAACCAATGATAATGACGTTGTTTAGGTTAGGACTTGACATTTTGATCAGCCTGAGGAAATAAATCATAATATGAGGTTATTACGAGGATACCTCACAGTATACACGAAAACAGTACAGCGCAGCAGAGGTCGATGCGACGGCGTACTGTTTGAGTTTGTTTTTATTATTAGAGATCGCTTATGCGCGTAATCATTCCATATTTGGAATTCGCATTTCCTTATATGGTAAGATGAAAATTACGGCACGCTGTAACTTATGGCGTTATGATGACAGATGTATAATAATAACTACCATGCTTGGCACGGAATCTCGTGTTGAAATTGATAACTATACTGCTATAAATTAGCCTGATTACCCTGGCCTAACTAAAAGAAGTATGAGAGTCTGCTAAGCGCCTTCAGCTCAATTACAATGCAACAATGTATTCTACACGCACAGTGTACGTATTTTTTGTTATTGTTTGTTGTTATATAAACCAATTCAGACAATGATTTGCAGCTATAGTATGTCATCTTCCAATCCGCTAATAGTGGCGTGTACCCGTTGCATCTTTATTTGTCACAGTGATATAGCATTTAAGTGGCCTATATTATCGATGGATTTACCTCTCGTTTCTGTAGTATATGTTGAAAGCCAGTAACCCGACGGACATGGCGATGCCCAGTGTCGCCAATGCCGTCATAACAACAAACATGACGAACGAAATGACTCGAATTTCGTGACGTTCTTCTGTGATATCTTTATCTGAAGGTGGTTTTCCCCCTGATGAAGATAATAATAGTAATAATAAATACGCGGCATCATTTCATGAACAATTCATTTGCTTCTGCGATTAGAATAAAACTCTTTTAGCACTGTTTAGACAAAGTTTTCATTAAATCGATAACATCAGAAAACGCAACTGCTAAATGTCAACGACGCATTTAATGCCGCCATTACCGCTTCGATACCATATGTCTTCTATTGACATCTGCCATTCCATGAGGTCGGACTGGGCCACGTATCTTCCAATCAGCACTTCTGTTCCATCTGTGACGTAAACGAAATTAAGGAGAAGGAACTATTAATGACTGGTGGGTAATTTTCTCTGTCTTGCCAAAGTGTTGGATTCAATTTAAATCGATGTAATATTGAGCGACAATAACATGGTGTATATTTTGATAATTATATGCGAATAGCTGAAAAATGTTTTATTTTTATTTAAAAAAAAGTAATTTTTCAGCTGTTTAGGTGATGTTAACATTTTCATGGAATACACATACTAACATTTAAACCAATGCAAATATTTTTTTTCCACATATATGTTTATTTGTTATCACTTATATGTTTTAAACATATATGTTTATTTGGTATCACTTATATGTTTTTTTAACATATATGTTTATTTGTTATCACTTATATGTTTTTTAACATATGTGTTTACTTGGTATCACTATGTGTTTTTTAACATATTCGTTTATTTGGTATCACATATGTTTTTTTCACATGTTTTATTTGGTATCACATATGTGTTTTTTAACATATGTGTTTATTTGGTATCACATATGTGTTTTTCAACATATATGTTTATTTGGTATCACATATGTGTTTCTTAACATATGTGTTATTCGGTATCACATATGTGTTTCTTAATATATGTGTTTATTTGGTATCACATATCTGTTTTTTAACATATATGTTTATTTGGTATCACATATGTTTTTTTACATATGTATTTATTTGGTATTCCATATGTATTTTTTCATATGTGTTTCTTAACATATGTGTTTATTTGGTATCACATATGTGTTTTTTAACATATATGTTTATTTGGTATCACATATGTTTTTTTACATATGTATTTATTTGGTATTCCATATGTATTTTTTCATATGTGTTTCTTAACATATGTGTTTATTTGGTATCACTTATGTGTTTTTTAACATATATGTTTATTTGGTATCACATATGTTTTTTTACATATGTATTTATTTGGTATTCCATATGTATTTTTTCATATGTGTTTATTTGTTATCACATATGTGTTTTTTCAAATAGTGTTTATTTGGTATCACATATGTGTTTTTTAACATATGTTTTATTTGGTATCACATATGTGGTTTTTAACATATGTGCTTATTTGGTATCACATATGTTTTTTTCACATATGTGTTTATTCGTTATCACACATATGTTTTTCACATATGTGTTTATTTGGTGTCACATATGTGTTTTTTAACATATGTGTTTATTTGTTATCACATATATGTGTTTTTTTTAACATATGTGTTTATTTGGTATCACATATGGTTTTTTTCATATATGTATTTATTTGGTATCACATATGTGTTTATTTGTTATCACATATGTTTTTTCACATGTGTTTATTTTGTGTTACATTTGGCATAACATATATCCGTATGTTCATTTGGTTCCACATATGTGTTCGACAGTTAAACATGAACAGCATGAATTTTTGTGTTTTGTTTAGCAATTTACATATTTATTTGGAAGCTTATCAAACGCACAGCTGGAGAAATTATGTCATTGCAAATCTGTCGTCAACTTGAATCAGGTACGCCTGTTTATCAACATATGGCGGTGACTAATGTCAGTGACGTAACTTATAATTAACGACTACACTTGCCTATTTTGATTCACTTAATCAAAAATACAAATTATTCCACTATCGAATTGTCGAACTAATATTCGAATATCTTGACCTGTACTAATTGCCAAAATAGCGAAATTTAGTTTGCATGATGCCAATCGTTTTACTTACTTCTCAATTGCTGAATTCTTAGCACCCCCTTTCTATCACCGTCAGTATCAAATGTAACAGGACCCTGGCACAGAAAAGAAAATGATTATAACTAGTCAATAGTGATGAACTTATGTTCGTTGACATGGAAACGTGAATCTCGAGTTCGCTGCATATAGTCTTGGAACTAACCACCTTTACAAGTGGTGTTCTTCATTCATCGAATAGTTAATTTATACATAAATAATAACAACAGCAAGAAACTCATATCCCCCTTTCTGTTTTAAATCCCAATCATTAATTACTAACCGAAACGCCGAAGAAGTTTGTCTTTTCCATGTTACCCTTGATGATTTCAGCCATCTCACTACTATCGTAAGTGAAGTTCTCAAGTCTCTGCGGTAGGATGTCCTCAATAGATGCATTCAGTGCTAAGGCCATTGCCCAGATGGCGTCGTATGCAAATGGTCCAGGTGTTGCTAAATCACTTGCGGCCAGTGATCGAAAGTTTCCGTATCTTCTGGGGTCTAGCAATGTAGAAAATAATACATGTTTTAAAAAAGAAATCTTTTAATAGATTGCATTGTTCTATTCATCGTAGGTCTACATTTACTGTTTTCGATACATTTAGTGCGTAATTTCAGTTTATTTTCAAAATCCCAGTTGTGGGTATGCATGTCACCGTATATACTCATTGTTATTTTACAACAAATTGTCTTGAATAAATATTAGCAGCGATGCACCATCTTGTACAAGTTGCCACCAAAACTAAAAGGAACATACAAATACGAAGACCCGATCTGAAAAGATTGACTATTGATTAAAAACTATTTATCAAGTTTCACAGTGCCTTCCACATTTTAATAATTTAAAAAAATATTAGCACAAGCAATGTACGACACAATTTTGCTAAATCCCAGATTTACGAAAATACACACACCCCTTGTCGCTGCTCAAGAAATTTACAAGGACACAAACAAACGAAAAACAACGGGCAAGTACAATTCTTTTAGACGAACATCACAGTACAAATTACAGAGAATGATATTTGGACCTGATGGTTTAAATGAAGTGATGTACTGTACTAGCGATGTCACATACAACATAGCTTGTATGTATGATTCATATCAGGCATCCATGGCGGGACGATGAGCGTACGACATCGACATGCTTGAAAGATAGCGAGCGTTTACGTATTTGAAGGGCGTTGGTCGTCGCGCCGCGTCCTGTTCGATATAGAACGCACACAACGCGTGCACTGTTTGTTTACATGAAATTCGACCACGCGCTACGCGACGATCACCGCCCTTTAATGATAGAACGTTGGCATTCTTAGCTGATATGTATAGCGCGACACTAATTGCTTCCAAGTTAGCACAAAACACATATGTATTCGGAAGAAAACATACAATTCCACCAACTGTTTTCTTGTTTTCAATGCTCATCGTCTCCCAGGCGACAAACCAAGCTCCCTCAGCTGCCTCCATAATCTGTTCCTTTGTGCAACCAATCTCAGGCTCGATCTCTGCTGTGATTTCATCAAAATTTAACGGGTCATGGCCATACAGCATCCACACATAGTCTTTACCGTACATGCCTATGTGGTATGCCTACATAACAGAAACAACTTGCAATGAAACAGGTACTGTAGTGCGCGTGTCGTGGCATGTACACAGTCCACTCTTTAATTGGTATAAAAGTATAAATATTGAAAGTGATACAGCGTTCCAACTTTAGATCTCCGTCTATATTTTAGCACGACGTGCTTTATTCTACCGTCCCTACAACCTTCTCTCACAAAATGGGAGTAAGCACCTAATCATGACGAGGAAGAGAAGGAATATTTCGATGGTTCACGTGTTGCAACCGTCTTAGTAGGATGGATATTGGGCTGTAGTAGTTAACGCTGTATACAGAAAGTTTCAGCTCGAAGTTCAGGATGGGAACGATGCTAACATATTGTCACAATAGACCAGTATAATTATGAAGCATTAGTTTTAATTGTACTATTATTAAGTAACACTGTATATGTAACAGTGTAAGAGTAACGATAATATATATATTATGGTATAGTTCAATAATTCCACATGATAATACACTAACTTATAATAACTGGATATAAATATGTTGAAGTCACGTAGTTGACCCGTTTCAGTTGCGTTGCATATTGACCCTAAATACACTAGAACAAGAAGACCAACTAGGCGAGTTGTTGTTCCTAACTCTCAGCATGGAACGAGCCCGTGTATTATGCATCCCGGCATTGGAGTCGTGTACAACCTCGTAGTTAGCCCTATTAATACCTGAACACATTCATCTCGGTTGGAAATAAAATAGGCAGCGTATTCTCAATAATTCAAATATCTACCTGTTTTTCCCAAAGGGGGTAGCTAATCCACAAAATACTCAGCGAGAATTGAACATGTATAATAGAAAGTAGTTAGAATTTCATCAACAAGCTTAACAAGATACCCAAAGGTGAAGACAGTCACAAATGAAAAAGGAAACACAATTTGGAAAACTCTTTGTTCGCGTTATTTCTAATATTATATATTTGAGACAAAAGGATGACTCAGTATTACTGCCCAAATTGAGGTCATTTACTATTTAAAACCTGACAGCTAACATTTTTTTTCTTGAATATTGCAGTATAAAGCAGACGGAATCGTATGATATATAGAGCTTCCCAGATAGTGTTGACGTAGAAAAAGAGACTCACCTCGCAGAATACGAGATACGATTGAGGACGGTAAAAGTTTCCAATAATGATTCTTGCATCTTTATCCTGAAATGAAGAAAATCAGCGTACACGTGTAAATATATATATTTACGTATTTGAAATAAATACATTTTAAGGTATACTTTACTAACAACTTCCGGATGGAAGATCATACCTTACTAAGCATTGACCACTATTGTTTATGACAGATGGAAGGCTATACCTTACTAAGCATTGCCAACTATTGTTATGACAGATGCAAGACCATACCTTACTAAGCACTTCCCACTATTGTTATGACAGATGGAAGGCTATGCCTTACTAAACATTCCCCACTATTGTTATGACAGATGGAAGGCTATACCTTACAAGGCATTTCCCACTATTGTTATGACAGATGGAATGCTGTACCTTACTAAGCATTTCCCACTATTGTTATGACAGATGGAAGGCTATACCTTACTAAGCATTTCCCACTATTGTTATGACAGATGGAAGGCTATACCTTACTAAGCATTTCCCACTATTGTTATGACAGACGGAAGGCCATACCTTACTAAGCATTTCCCACTATTGTTATGACAGATGGAAGGCATACCTTACTAAGCATTTCCCACTATTGTTATGACAGATGGAAGGCTATGCCTTACTAAGCATTGCCCACTATTGTTATGACAGATGGAAGGCTATGCCTTACTAAACATTTCCCACTATTGTTATGACAGATGGAAGGCTATACCTTACTAAGCATTTCCCACTATTGTTATGACAGATGGAAGGCTATGCCTTACTAAGCATTTCCCACTATTGTTATGACAGATTGAAGGCTATACCTTACTAAGCATTTCCAAATATTGTTATGATAGATGTAAGGTCATACCTTACTAAACACTTTCCTCTATTGTTATGATAGATGGAAGGCCATATCTACCTTACTAAGAATTTCCCACTATTGTTATGACAGATGGAAGGCCATACCTTAGTAAGCACTTCCCACTATTGTTATGACGGATGGAAGGCCATTCCTAACTAAGTACTTCCCACTATTGTTATGACAGATGGAAGGCCATACCTTACTAAGCATTTCCCACTATTGTTATGACAGATGGAAGGCCATACCTTATTAAACACTTCCCACTATTGTTATGACTGATGGAAGGCCATACCTTACTGAGCACTTTCCGCTATTGTTATGCCAGATGTAAAGCTATACCTTACTAAGCATTTCCCACTATAGTTATGACAGATGCAAGGCTATACCTCACTAAGCATTGCCCACTATTGTTGTGACAGACGGAAGGCCACACATTATTAAACACTTCTCACTATTGTTATGACAGACGGAAGGCCACACCCTACTAAGCACTTCCCATTATTGTTATGACAGATGGAAAGCAATACCTTACTAAGCATTTCCCAATATTGTTATGATAGATGTAAGGTTATACCTTACTAAACACTTCCCTCTATTGTTATGATAGATGGAAGGCTATATCTACCTTACTAAGCATTTCCTACTATTGTTATGACAGATGGAAGGCGATTCTTCACTAAGCATTGCCCACTATTGTTATGACAGATGGAAGGCTATGCCTTACTAAGCTTTTCCCACTATTGTTATGACAGATGGAAGGCTATACTTTGCTATGCATTTCCCTCTATTGTTATGACAGATGGAGGGCCACACCTTACTAAACACTTCCCAC